ACTGCCATTGCGCAGCGACATTACCCTATGCCTAACTTTTATATCATGCTGGGTTTTGGCATTGCGAACCGCTTCGTTATATTTGTTTCTGGACTCGACGTCGGCTTGTCTGTTCTCTACAGTGGGGTTTTGTAAGTAGGTTCTGTGGGCCTTGATCTTCTGCTGGCGAGCAGTGTCACACGATTTGTTGAACCAGCCGTTGGACCCTGGTTTAGGAACTTTCACTGTGTGAGGGATGTATTCCTCCATTCCGACGTGGATAATTTCGGTTATTGAAGAACAGACAGTCGACGCATCCGCGTCAGTGAAACAGACATCTCTCCAAGGAAAGCTAGAGAAGAAGTCTCTGAGCCCCTCCCAGTCGGCATGTCCGTAATGCCAAGTTTTGCGGCCTGTGCGAGTTTCTGCGGCCACAGCGGCTTCTGACCGAAACCTAACCTCCACAACACCGTGATCTGAGTTACCCAGGGGGGACAGGACAGCAGTGCTGTAAGGGGCAGGATGCGTGGTCAGAAAGAGATCCAGCAGGCTACTGGCGTGTGTCGAGACGCGGGGGGAAAAAGTAGGGCTCGTCACCAGCTGGGTCAGCCCTTGAGTAAGAGCGAACGCTTCGACTGCACGACCTGCTGCATCGGTCTTATTTGAGCCCAACCAAAGCTCATTATGGGCATTGAAATCACCGAGAAGAACTACCTCTGAAGCGGGGTGATTGATGTTCAGGAAGTCGATCTGGACGGCGAGGTATTCGAGTAGGTCATCCCAGTTATGGTTCGAGGGAGAGCGATAAAGGCAGCAAATAAATTTGGGTGATGTTTTGGAATTGAGGCGAAGCCACAGAATGTCCTTCCGGTCTGATTCCAAAGAAAGATCCCTGGAGCAGGAAAGACTGCTGCGGACAAAAGCCACAACTCCCCCGTTCTTTCTCAGATTGGAGTGCACCTCGTAGTTTGGGAAGTTGAGATGGTTAATCGGTGCAGCCTCTGAGATTTTTGTCTCCGCCAAGAAAAGCACGGCGGGACGATTGGATTGCAGGTAGTGATGAACAGCATCAATGTTGCTGTTGATCCCGCAGATGTTCGAAAAACAAATTTTATCTTCGATGTTGTTCCCTCGAGCCCACCCTCCACCCGGACATTCCGGCAGTAAACAAATCAAAGGTTTCTTAGGACTTGTAGGATATTATAGGCGTTTTATTAAGGACTTTTCAAAAATAGCACAGCCACTAACTCAATGCTTGAAAAAGAATGCTAAGGTATGCTATAATGAACAGCCGTTCACTGACGCCGTCAATAAATTTAAGGAACTGATTACAAACGCACTTATTCTAACGTATCCCGATTTTTCAACACCATTTACGCTGACGTCAGATGCTTCGAATGTTGCGATAGGTTCAGTACCAACTCAAAACGATCACCCCATTGCATTTTTCAGTCGCAGTCTTAATACTGCCGAACGTAATTATTCAACTGTCGAGAAAGAGTTGTTTAGTATCGTTAATTCATGTAAACATTTTCGTCCATATCTATTTGGGAAGCCGTTTACGATTAGGTGCGATCAAAAATCACTCGCTTGGCTTTTTAACATAAAGGATTCTTCAAGTCGCTTATATCGTTGGAAATTGAGATTAAATAATTTCAATACAAAGTAGAATACATAAAAGGAAAAGACAATGTATTAGCAGACGCTTTGTCTCGAGTCGAAATTAACGCAATAGATAAGAACGAAAATCCGGACAGAAACATCAATTATTTCAAAAATCCATTAGTCAAAGCGTGTATTCCCTTCAAAAAGCAAACCGCAGAATCTGTACATCCATTTTTAAATTCAGAGAGTGAGGAAATCAATAAATCAGATAAGTAAAGTCGGGAACCAACAGATTCAGATTTGTCAATTAGTCCTGATTATGAGGATCCAATAAATCTGATAAGTTATTCCGAGAATCCCTTGAACTATTTTAAGCATCAAGTAGAATTCAAAATTTTGCATCAGTATAAAGTAACAAGATATCTATTATTTAAACCGAAAATTCAGCTATATGTGACTTTATGCCCAGATTCCATTCATTCCCAATTGAGCAGGTTTTTATTACAATATGTATTTAGATCCCAAAAATACATATGGTATTCATACATATAACAATGATCAGCTAAACAAAGACATAGCACAAGCATTTAGAACCCTGTTTTATACGTCCGTAAAAGCTGTATTCTGTACAAAACTTCTTAATGATATAGAGGATGAGGAAAGACAAAAGGAAATTATTCAAAATTATCATAACAAAGGTCATAATGGAATTTTAGAAACCGTCAAGCACTTGTAAGAAAAATATTATTGGCCACATATGAAAAATAAAATCTCAATTTTTATCAATAAATGTGAGGTATGTCTAGCTTCCAAATATGAAAGGCATCCTTACAGGTATTCACTAGAAGGTCATATGCTAGCTCAATATCCATTTGAAACCATTCATATTGATTGTTTTATTGTAAAAGGTAAATCGTTCTTGACAATAATTGATCTATTTGCAAAGTATGGCCAAACATACGAAATCACCGACAAAAATGGCGTAACAATTTGTAAGGCATTACGGAAATATATATCACATCATGGAATTCCTAAACGAATAGTATGTGATTCAGGTACGGAATTTAATAATTCACTTTTTAAAGAATTTTGTTCGTTACATGAAATACAGGTTCACTTTACTACAAGCACCTCTACTCAAACTCCAATAGTTCAGTCGAGAGGTTTCATTCTACTCTTATAGAGAAAATAACAACCTTATCCATCAAAGAACCGCAAACATCTCTTGATGAAACTATGCAGACTGCATTGATTTGTTACAACCAAAGTATCCATTCTGCAACAGACTTTTCCCCTCATCAGCTACTGTATAATCCATTCGAACGAAAAGATATTCATGAGTTAGAACTAATTAAGACTGTATATGAAGTATATAACCAGAAACGTATCAACGAACTTAACGTCCTTTATCAGACTATTGCGGATAAAATTAAAGAAAAGGGTTCAAAAATTTTGGAAAAACGTAATGAAGGTTTACAAGACCAATTACCCAGTATTGGAGAAGGTGGTGAAATTTTTATCAAAACTGCAGGTAGAAACAAAATTCGTAAGAAATATATAAATTAAAAGTCGATAAATCAAATATTACAACTGAGTAAGCTAAGCGTTGTGCACATCAATGATGACATCTTATGTATCTTGAAAATTCCGATACTTCGTAAACTCCCATTCAATCTGTATTATGTACATCCATTGCCAAATAACGCAAATATTATATTAGAACCACCTACTACATTTTATTTAAGTAACGATGTAAAAGAAGCTTGGACTGACACACCCTGCAAGAAAACTGAAAAATTTTATGTTTGGTTTTCTTCGCAGCACACCAATGTATGCTTATTAAAAAATAATTATACGCATTGTGTATTCCATGAGGTCAAAAACGACTATTTCCTTTATAAAAATTGTGGAACCAAAACGCTCTAATTTTTTATTCATAATCATTTCGAACCGTAGTAGAGAAATGTGAAGAGAACGTCAAGAAAATTAACCTAAAAGGTTCCTACATATTGAATAGCATATGTGATATAATAATTGATGAAGAAATAAGAAACCGAAACGAAGACGTTTCGATATAAGGGGGGAAGAGTTATGTACTTTGGCTCACTCTATAAAATATAATTATTATATTGCATCATCTTGGCGTTATCTTGTGTCATTCTATTACCGTTGTTAGAAAACTTAGAATTATCTCATATATGCAACCTGATACGTCCTCCATGCTTCTTGAGAATTAGCTTATGTGTGTATTCCTGTTATATGACTTTATAAAAACCGCTGTAACTTTTGTTTGGTAATCACATAGCTATCAACTATTGTAGTGGTAGTTAGATTCATCAGCGGGAAATAAAAGTTATTTTTTAAAAACCCTTGTTCGCCCCTGACAAACAATTCGCGTGAATGACGATATTGGCCTTCACCTTATACAGTGCACGCAGCCCGCAGTAGTGCGGAAGCGATTGCCGACTGTGACGTACGACCACCGATGATGACGCTTGTCCATCCCGGGGACCACGTCGTACGTATGGATACCCGACTGTAGAAGATATTTCTAAGTTTCAAGGGTAAACGTAGGGGGATATCTATGATGTGTGAAATATGCCTGATATGTGCCAAGAATTACTGGGGTTGGAGGCGTATAAATATACCAACGCAAAAAAATTGAAATATAACCTCCCACACCTCCTGCAACCCTTAACCCCCAATGTTTAACCCCTAAAAAACTAAGTTTGAGTAATTTTTATTTTTTGTTTTTGGCTTTTTCTCCGTCGCCACTGGCCCGATTCTCAAAAACTAAGGTTTTACGTCCTTGGCTTAATAGGAACATTGTGTAAAAATTTCATCAAAATCCGAGCGAAACTTCTCAAATTATAGGTGGTTATAAGATTAGCATACATACAGACCGATGGAAATATGGCTCTGATAAATTGAATTACTGCTTTCATGCTTAGGAAATGTAATTAATATGAAATAATTGACAAAGTGAAAAACTAGGTAATTTTGTAAAATAACGTGATCAATGATATATGTTCGAATTGTAATCATAAAAGGAATGTATTGGCGTCAAAATTTGAAAAAGGCAGTAAATGAACTTTGCTACCCAAGTACGGCAGTACTGCTGTTTGATATTACTAAGAACGATATAAGGTAAACTCAAAATATTGCGGCCATGTCAAGTGGGTTGCAACACTGATAGTGTAGATTATGTTGAGAAATGAATGAAATTATCATTTATTAATCAATTCATGTGCGCAAGAGCAGCTGCGTTTAGAATTGGTTTGCTTAGTGTGCATTTTTTCTATGGAACCTCAGTTCCGTACATGATTCAATTATTCGATTTGCTTATTTATTTCGTATGGCATATATTGTTTATTCGTTATATCTTAACAAATAAAAAACAAATTGGTATTTCTTACATGTCGAAATGTATCTTGCATGCTCCAAAAGAAAGTGCCTGTTGCCTCCTGTAAGGGTTTAGTTCAGCTCCAGGTGATATTTTGAAAGGCAAGGGGAAATTTTGGTAGTCTTCTGTATCAGGTACAATTTGGCATTTGATACCTGTAAATTAATTCAAAACCGGTACCATCATATATGATAATCCTTCAAGCTAATAGAATATACATAAGAAAATAATACGATTTCATTAAAATGTGGATTGACAAGATACGTTATTGCAAAATTCCTTACAGTAGATGGGTACATTAAGGGATGCCTAAAGCGGCACCGACACGGATATACGTATCTTGAAAAGTGACATTTTGACCTTTTTTTGACAGTTTGCAGGTTTTTTGTGACATATCGTAGGTTTTTCTACCAGATGTTAACTTAGCACACGATGTTGTAAACTTGTTGTGAACTCGTTTTGTAACTGTACGTGTTGCTTGAACATCAGCGAACAGCGATCATAGCGAGCAAACGTCGGATGACCTATTTGCACATTAAAAGAACTACCTAGTCTGCAAGCACTTGACAATTTCGCCAGGAGGATTTAAGTCATGGGGGTTGAGATTCAACCAACAATGATGCGGATGATGCTGAGCAAGATTCAAGATACGTTGAGTTAAAAACATATCGCAGTGTCTGGATCTTCCTTTCCAGTCCTCACAGGTTAGACCAACTGACTTACAAGCAAAGGCCCCCCAACGCGTCGTGACGAAACACGATGGATAGTACCATCTCTGGTATAAGCCCTATAAGCACGATGCTACTCCACAAGCTAAAATGCTGGTGATGTAGTGAGAATATCGTATTTTTGGAGAACCTCGCATTTCCGATAGATAAGGCAACTTTATAAAGCATTTCTAACCGAGAAAGGCAATAAAATTTTTGCCCTGTACCAAAAGATTCCTTAATGATCTTGCGAGGTATTTTTAAAATCATGGTTATATCGTTTTGATAGTGAGATCCTAAACCGCTTTTACTTTTAGGATCATTGCTACACACTCAATGAAAAAGTGACTGACTGTATATTTATGTAGAATTTTTGACTTAGAATAGTTTTGTTGGGTAATCGAACTAACGTCAGTTATCCCACGCTCTACTTAAATTTCGACTTTCGAAATTCTAATATTGCAAACATACACAATATTTTAGACACTTTTCTACATGCGAGAGGTTCATTGACACTTGGAATACTAAGGCCCGTATCGTCAGTCGTCCCTACAATTGTAGGGCGCGTTTATGGCCTCCTTGATATCATATTCATTTCTCTCCTTCAAAAATTTCTAGATTACACTTGTCCCGTGTCAGCGCCAGCGCTCTCCTATTGTGAAGATATGTTTTCTTTTTAAATTGTAGGAAATTTCAGACTGATAAAACATGATATAACTCAAAAGCAAGCACAATTTGATGCAAATAGATGTTTGTGACATAACCTCAAAATAGAGTTCTGACACGGAGAAGTAGAAAACTATGACAATCAAGGAAGCTATAAAGGCGCCCTACAATTGTAGGGACCACTGACGATACGGGCCTAAGAGAGGCACTGCTGGCATTCACATTTCAACAACCACTTGCGACTTTTGTAAATTTCATGCGTATTCGTGAAACCAGGCACGCTGAGGCGCAGGACCTCTTAGTGCATTCGAATATTGCTCTAACAGTTGAAAGATCGAAGTGTATGTGTTGTGATTTTGTGAATAGTGCCCATATCAAGTTCAGGACAAGGTCCAATCAAGCAAACAGTGAGGTTTTCACTGAGTATCTTTTATTGTCACAAGTCAAAAACAGATGAGATATATTAATCAACAGTTTGTTTGATACTCGATTACACTTTCTATATATTTTATTAATGATCCACAATTTACACGACGTTTTATTAATCAAATTCAAGCGGATAACCAAATGGAAATGGTATTTACCATTTTGGGTTGGTATTCACCAATCCGTTCAAGCGAGTGTAGTTATCAGTTTGGTTATAAGATCCGTGACGTCACGAATCAGCTGTTATATGTCATAGTTATCACCGCAAAATTGTGGATTTTACCCAACTCAAGAGTAGTTTTATATTTCTGGTTATTATTCGAAATGTGACAAGTTAGAATTTTGCCGGGTATTGGATATTGTTATTGTACTTCAGCTTCATTTTTGAGAAAAATGATACAGGCTGACTTCATTTTTACCATAAAGTGGAGCACCTTATTAGTTATACTCATTACGGTTGTTGGGGACACGTTAAATGTAGTTCCTATGCTTAACAAAGTATCCTGTGTAGCCATATACCACAAGAATATTAAAATATGGCCATATAAACTCACTAGATGATATCCACCTGTATACGGTTTTGCTAATTTCTTTTTTCGTCATTTCTGCTGAATCAATAAATGTTTTCTTTGACGTGCGGAAAAATTTAGAGAATTGAAAGTTATCATAGCTACAAAGCCATGGTTCCATCATTAAAAAAAATCTGAAAAAAATATTTCTCCCATGAATATTATGAAAGGTTTCTTATTTAAACTTTCCATATACAGTTGTAGACGAAAAAGCACCAATTATTAAATGATAATAAAAATAATCAAGGATTATATACGCGCTTTTCTAAAATAAACAACTTGCAACAAAACCGCGGTTAAAACCAACGCGTTCAAGCGATTCGTGTAATTGACGTCATCAACCCGTGTGTCATCTTGAACCATATTATAACCGCGGCACATAACACAGAAATGTTGGTTATTCGCTTGGATTTGATTTATACTTAGGATTTATATCTTCTATCAAGCTGGACTGTCCTTGTTGCTGTCCGCGCCACATAGCACAACTGTCACTTGTCAAAACACAAAGCACAGATAATTAAAGAACACAATCATACAACATGCTCTTCCTTTTTTTTAATAATAAGCCAAACTCTTCCTTTTGAATGCCTGAGCATGGCGACCACTTCGAGTTATAGTAGCATTGTTATCAGTAACATCATCAGTCACATTATTATCATGAGTATCAGACAATGTATGATTGAATGAGCTATTATCAAGTAAATTCATATTATTATTTGATCTTTCTAAATCTTCATAGAACAAGCTACTGAATGTTACACCCTTGCTGGCTTTACATGGCAAATATGATTCATATATCATTTTTCTATTTCTTCCAAACTCATTCCCATGTAAACCTTTGATAATATATGACACATCATTATATTGCTTTACTATTTTTCCTTTCTCCCATTTATTATTTAATTGGAACAAAACATTTTCTCCTTTTTCCAAAACAGGTAAGTCTTTCGCACGTTTGTCATAGCTCTCCTTTTGTTTTCTTTTGATTTCACTCAATTCTTTACTTATAATACCAGAGTCCACTACATGAGGTTCAAGTGTATCTGGAGATACTGGTATTGGGATGGAGAATTCCCAATACTTGGTAATGGTGTATTGCAAAAAATAATATGGTAGATATTATTATTCATCTTTCTAAGTATTATTTTAGCAACATCTACATATTTTTCTGCAAGTTCATTAGATTGATAATGATGAGGACTTGAAACCTGTAACGCAAAATTCCATTCTGCAGAGAATTCTTGTACTTTTCTACTGTTATCTGCAAAGAAAATATCTGGTATTCCGAAGTTAGAAAAAACATTTATCAGAACCATAATAACTATATCAGTAGTTTTATCTTCTACAGGAACTACTTCCAACTAGTGAGAATAAGCATCAACAATGATCAAATAATTTTTATGTCTAAATTCTGAAAAATCAGAGAACAGATATTGCCATGGTCGACATGGTTGTTCTTGAGGCATCAAGGTTTCTTTTATATTAGCCGGTCTGTTTAATTGACATGTTTCACATCTTGCAATGTAATTCTCGATGTCACTACACATGTTTGGCCAATACATTGCTATTTTCGCTCTCAATTTCGATTTTTGGATACCAAAATGTGGCTCATGAACCATTTTAGCATATACGAGGTAGGAATGATTATTCTTGAGTTATAAAACAGGAGATCATCAGAAAGAAATATACAGTTTTTTAGTTTAAAATAAGCTTGCAGCTGATCACCTAATTTTTAATCTGATTTTGGCCAACCTGTCAAACAAAACTTTTTAACTTGTGAAAGTATTGGATCACGCTCAACTGTTTTTCGGAAAACAATTTTCTTATTTCCTGTAATAGGTGCACTCAGTGACAATGAATGAATGGCATACTATAGCTCTTTATAACCTTCCTAATTGGTGATTCCACGTCGGTGATTTCCCGTCGGTGAATACCAGAACGGTATTTTACATACGGGGAAATACCTGGGCTATAATATATAAACCGCCGGGTGGTTTCTGTTGCATTTCCTGTTGTTTACGGATTGTGCCCAGTGCTAACTGTGCCTTAGAATAACTATTGTTTTTAGTTTGTGCTCTAAAATTATTAACGAATAATCATTAAAGTTTTTTGACACTGAACTTATTTGCCATAGTAAGTACCTATTTATTTATTATAAAATATTTACTTTTCTAATTATTATACTTGATCTGGGAGGTTCTTCAGAATTTACTCAGAAATTAATTATCTAGTATTAAAGGTAATGAAAAAATATTTCTATAAATTAATGAAAAAGCTGGACACATAAGAAAAAAGAAAAAAATCATAAACTCCTATACTCAGAAATACATCGCTTCATGGGAACAAAAACCCGAATTTAAAGGTTGGCGGAGGAGCAGCAAGAAAGGGTCCAATTATGCATTCTGCAAGGCATGCAATAAAGATTTTATATGTGGCAAATCCGAAATCCAGAAACATTCTTCAGGAAAACAACACACCAAATTGTTAAATCATTACACACACAAGAATTATCTTTAAATAACAAAATCAAAACTGCTGAATTCGAATTGCAGCATGTGCAGCTGAACATAACATTTCATTTAATACTTTTAGACCACTTATCAGAAATTATTAGAATATCATTTGACGATTCAGAGATTGCTAAAAATTTCACATGTTCTCGCACCCAAGCTACAGCTATTGTCAATAATGTTTTAGGGCAGTACAGTTTTGAAAATTCTATTAATTTATTACATACAAATAAATTTTCATTAATTGCTGATGAATCTACCGATAAAGGCGCAATTAAACATTTAGCTTTAGTGGCACGTATTTTTTTGAACAAAAAATTACTGACTTGTTCTTTGGTCTACTGCCTGTAGCACATGCAATGGCAGAAGGACTTTACAACACTATTGTAAATTATTTTTTAGATTGTAATATTAATTATAAAGAAAATCTAGTAGGGTTTGAATCAGATGGTGCAAGTGCTAAGAAAGAATACTTGAGCAATAGGGTGCTTTAAAATTATATTTTACAGATCAGTGCTACAATAAAAATGGCATTCAAGCACAAAATATCTTAAATTTTCTTCAAAATCCATCTACCATATTGTATTTACATTTTTACACTTTGTGCTGCCGTTTTTTATGGAATTAAATTTAGAAATGCATTCCGAAAATATTAAAATACACATTTTGTATAAACGAGTTGAACATGTGTTAAGAATAATTTTGGATTGTTACATGAAAAAGGATTATTTAGAGAAATCCATTCTGCTAAACAAATCATTAGGGATGCTAAAGTTGTAGCAACTGATATTTTTCTATATAACTTTGGTATGTAAAATTCCACTTAAATTTTCAGTCGATAATTTATTTCTTATTTTAGTTTTGTTAAGATTTATTTGGAAAATATCCTTTCAACATTTGCACCTGAATGTGGCAAACTAAACCGATTAAACACAAAATTAGTTAATGTTGGAAACATAAGAGAATCATCAGCAGATTTTAATGTTGAATTTTTTTCGCAAAATTCTTGAACGCTTAAATTTGTAGATTCACTTAAATCAAGATTTCTCAGGCAACGCTTATCTTAGTCTATTTCATTTACGTTATCAGTTCTCAGTTGGGAAAATGGAAAACTAAAGGCCCTAATGATGCTTGTTTTTTTACCATTACTTCATCTGGTGATATAAGTGACATATGTTTTAGGGTAGCGACAGTTTTGCTTTTATTATCAAATCTTTTATAAATTTGAAAACAACTTTCTATTAGAAAATCTAAACACCTCTTTCTGAAGTCAAGTAATTCTGCATCATTTAGTTCATGTTCATTATTGCTTATAGCACCTGTTACATAGACACCTAATTAAATGTTTTCTTTTTCTACAAAATTATGAGGATTTTTATATTCTACTTTTTCAATCAAAGTTTTATCTAAATAATCCTTTTTCATGTAACAATCCAAAATTGTTCTTAACACATGTTCAACTCGTTTATACAAAATGTGTATTTTAATATTTTCGGATTGCATTTCTAAATTTAATTCCATAAAAAACAGTAGCACAAAGTGTAAAAAATATAAATACAATATGGTAGATGGATTTTGATGAAAATTTAAAATATTTTGTGCTTGAATGTCACTTGTATTGTGGCACTGATCTGTAAAATATAATTTTAAAGCATCTTATTGCTCAAGTATTCTTTTTACAACAGGCAATATTGACAACCACCTTATTTATTACTACTTACAGTCTTGAGCATTGATCACAAAAAAAATACCTGCTCCTGGTATATACGCAAAGTGTGAGAAACATCGTACCCAATCTTCTGGAGAAGTAACCATACAAGAGATAACACCAGTAAGTACTCACAGAAACGTTAGCAGCTCTTCCGAGGACGAACCAAGCATTTTCGGTCATTTTTCTTTAACATCTCCCGAAATTGTGTCAGAAAAGTCACATTCTTGTCAAGATATATCAACTTTCAACCTGGCCTATACATAGGGTGTTTATCCGATATGACTAGACGAAAAAAGAAGGATGAAGAAGAGCAACAAGAAGATAAAGATGAAAGTTATTTATTAAAGAATAATGCAAATACTACTATAGAGCAAGAAGTACGGTACCTGAAGAAGCTACTAGAAACAAAGAATGAAATAATTTTAGATAAAGAGAGGTATATCAATCAATTAGTTAATGAGAACAGACGTTTACAGGAGCATTATGAATTGATCATTAACAGTATTGTGGATAAAGAAACCATAATCACTTCTTTGGGGAAAATAAATGAAAGAGTTGAAAAAATGGAAGCTACTACCTCATACACCCTTTGTAATGATGTAATAAAATCATATAGTGGGGCTGTAAAAGAGTAAAAAAAAAGCAGAGATGAGAAGATTGTAGATAAAATTAATAATACACAAAAGTTGATGATAAAAAGTACGGACAAATCAAACTCGAATGTGTTGGAAGATTTGAAGAAGAACATTGATCCAGCTAAGTCAAATATCTGTGTGAACTCTGTGAGGAGGGTGAATAATGGCATAATTCTTAGCTGCGAAAATGAAAATCATTGTCCAAGCTGATGGCGAGTATCCAGTGAGAACTCGGTGCGAACTTCACTGTCAATGAGATCAACAAATATCGCCCACGCATGGTGATAAATAATGTAGAATGCGCCTACACAAAATCTGAGGGATTAATCGAGAAGATCTTGTCCCAGAATGAATTTTTAGTAGTGATGATATAAAAACTGTAACCACTTTCAGATGTTCCGAATCTACTTTAAATGTTGTCATTGAGGTTAGCCCAAAATTTAGAAAAACGTTGCTAGATAGAGGTCATATATACATGGGTTGGCAAAGATGTCCTGTGCGGGATTATGTACGAATTTATTATACGCTGCTATAAATGTTCAGGTTTTGGCCACATGGAAAAAAATTGCATACATTCTGAAGTATCATGTCCTTTATGTGCTGGAGATCATTTGGAAAAAAATTGTAAATCTGCTTTTAAGAATTGTTCAAACTGTATGAATCACAATTCTAAATTCAACACTCAATTTGATACTAGTCATTCTTCTAAAGACTTAGATTGTCCAACTTATAAAAAACATGTTACATACTTGAAATCTAGAATTGAATATGAATAGTGATAAATTCAAGGGGTTTTAAAATTTGGTCATATAAACTGCAGATCAGTTTTATCAGGATTTGATGAATTTAGTTCACTGGTTCAAAAGAACAATCTTGATATTGTTGGAATATCGGAAACGTGGCTATCAAAAGATATATATCTAATATATAAGAATGAATGGATACAACTGCTATCGCTGTGATAAAGATGGGCGAGGTGGTGGGGTTGCAGTCTTTGTAAACAACCACTAAAACTCTTCCATAATTTCATTTGGGCAAGGCCCAAGTCTTGAATATATATGGTTGAAGGTGCAGCTTCCAAAACAAAAAATTGCTATTGGTATATTCTATCGGCCCCCACATAGCTCTGTTACAGATACCGGTAATACCTTTGATAACATGTTGCCTGCCATATTAGCTAAATATGATGATATCATCCTTGCAGGGGATATCAATGTTAATTTGCTTTTAGTTTGTAACAAGTTGACTAAATGCCTTGATTCTTATAATCTGAAACAGGTGATATCTGAACCGACTAGGATAACTGAATCGACACTCACTCTCTTAGATCCTATTTATTTGAGCAAGCCTGAAAGTTGTCTTAGGAGTGGCACTATTAATGCTGATATGATTACTGATCACTATTTGACCTTCTGTGATATACGTATTGCACTTCCTAAAAATCAACAGAAATTTGTGACATTCAGGGATTTCCATAGTTTAAATGAAATAGCGTTTGAACACGATCTCAAGAGGTTTCCATGGTGGCATATTATATCGATAGATGACATTGAAGATAAAATTAACTTTTTAACAGATAGTATTTTATGTTTATTTAATGTTCACTGTCCAAAAAAGGTAGTGCGTGTAAACAAAGCTCCAGCTCCTTGGTTGGATGATAATATTAAACTTGTATTCAAGCAGAGAGCTGAAGCTTTGTCAACGTTCAAACGTGATCGTACAGCCGCCTCTTGGCAACAGTATACATATTTCAGAAATCGTGCATTAACGCTCGTGCGAAGAGGAAAAAGAGATTATTTACAAGCTGTTCAAAATCAGGATATAAAAAAGTTTTATAAGACCCTAAAGACTTTCAAAGTACAATCTCAGAAAGATTCTACAATTCCCGTGAGCTTGTCAGATCCGTATAAAATAAATGAGGCATTCATTTCAATTTTCGAGAATAGTGATTTGGCTTGTGTAGATAAAATTGCATATTACCGAGCTAATAAAAATAACTCAAAATTCAAATTTCAATTTAACAAAGTGACTATTGACACCGTTGTTAAAATTATACATAAAATAAAATCAAATTCTAGTGGTACAGATGGAATAACTTTGCATATGATACTACTATGTATACCTGAAATTGATGTGTACTTAACGCATATTATAAACTGCTGTTTAGAGAGGGGATATTTCCCCAATCAGTGGAAACGCGCTATAGTTATTCCGCTACCTAAATGTTCTGATCCTACTAACTATGGTCAACTGAGACCGATCAGTCTACTGCCAATTTTTCTAAAGTATTGTAACGCGTTGTTTACGAACAGCTCTGCGCCTACTTATATTCTAAAAAATTATTCCATCTAAACAATCTGGATTTCGACAAGGTCATAATACAGCTTCGACACTCTGTGATTTAACAGACAATATGACAATGGCACTTGATAACCAAAAAGCAGTAGCTCTCATACTTCTTGGCTTTACTAAAGCATTTGACACCATTAATCACTCACTTCTTGTATCTAAATGCAGTTATTATGGATTTTCTGAAAAACCTCTTTCGTTTATTCAAACCTACCTTGAAAATCGGTATCAAAAAGTTCGTCTAAATCAACAGTACTCTACGGAACAAAAAATTTGTTATGGTGTACCACAGGAATCAGTCTTAGGACCGCTATTATTTTCATTATATATCTCAGATTTAGAAACAGAGGTAAAATCATGCAGCATACAATTTTTTGCAGATGATACTCAAATTTTCTATTCATTTAGGAGTAATGACTTGGAAACGGCAAATAATAAAATTAATCAAGATCTTGCCCAAATTGAAAAGTTCAGTAGTAGTCATAATCTTCGTTTGAACCCTTTGAAGACATATATGTTGGTATACGCAAATAGAACAAAAAATAATACCTTAAAAAAGGACATAGACATACATTTAAAAGCTAATAAATTAATTCCTGTGGATCATTCGAAAAACCTAGGTATTATAATGGATGATGACTTAAAATTTGTTGCACACGTGAACTATCTAATTACTCAGTGCGACGCTATTCTCAGAGTTTTATTTGCAACATAAATCTGCGAGAAAGCAATTGTGTGAATATTTCGTGTTTTCAAAGATATCGTATTGCTTAGTGGTTTACTATCCCTATTTAGATATTATAACAAGAAATCGTATTCAAAGTATTATGAATACATGTTGCAGACTTGTAAATGATCTCAGAAAATATGATCATATATCGAATGCCATTAATGAACTCAAATGGATGAAAATTGATAAATTGTATAAGTACCAGCTCCTAAATCTGACTCATAAGGTTCTTTATTCAAAAACACCGTCATATTTAGTAAACAAATTCATACGTAGAGGGATTATGCATTGTATTAATATTAGATATAGAGAGACTTTTCCAATTCCACGCCACAGCACGTCTCTATTTCAGAATACATACATTTACAAAGCGATCAAATCATATAATTCTTTAGACCGCAGTTTAAAAGAAA